GCCGGCTGCGTATCCATGGCTTGCGCGTTCTCCATCGTCCGAGTGTGTCGCCGAAAAGAAAGTGCTAAGAAGAAGATCATTGGCACAAGAAAGCAAACGCAAACCTCCAAAGAGGGGGCTGCTACGCTGCACCTTGAGCCTCGTACCCGCCTATAGCAAACTTATTGGAAGAAGCCATGGCGTCAGCGGCTGCCTCCACAGGTGACGCCAAAGGAACCTGCAAAGGTCGAAGAAGAGGAGGGTCCTCAGCCCAATGCTTCCAGTAAAGCAGAAACTGCTTGGAAGCGGGCGAGAGACGCCGCCGACTGCTGGCGGGGTCAGCCACGCGTAGCCACAGACGCTTCGACGTGAAAGGCACCTGAGCAAGATCACTTTTGCGCTTCATGTCGACGTGTCGAACAGAAAGGAGCTTGGACCCCAAGGGGATTGCAGTCCCCGAAGGGCGCGAAGTAAAAGTCAAGGTGTCGTCCAAGAAATCAGCAATCGAAGGGAAATCACCCGGATCCATGCTATAGTTTGTTCCCAAAGGAGAGTGCAAATCACAGTAAAGCGTGTTCATCCATGGCTTAAGCAAAGGAAACAGCTGAAGGATCCACTGGATAAGGCCGATAACGCGATGGAGCTCGCGCTTGTCGACCCTGTCCTGCCTCAAGACGTCGCGCAGACCAGCAAGCAACTTCGAAGTTTTATCGGAAGGAACTTCGACTCCCCCAGCGCCGAAGTCAAAGCTCCAACCAATCCAAAGGATACGCGGGCCCATTTGAAGCTTCTTCCAAGAAATGGGGTATCCAAAGCAAACGCAAACGGCAAGGACCAAAGCGAAGGTGATCTCCAACACCGATTGCTCCGTGATGCCCAGCAAATCATCACTGTACATGAAAAGAGAGTGGCGCACATAAAGGAAGGGGTGAAGCATACGGATCAGAAAGGCACTGACTCGCTGAAACCAATGTGCACTGAAAACTGCTCCAAAAGGACAAACGCGATAAAATAGATAACGCAAAGTACCATCTGGAAGCGGATGCTGCACCCCTAAAAGTCCTCTGTCACGTTCGCGAACACGAACCGTTTTGTGCGCCGCCTCAATGTCCAAAGAAAAGCCTGCCAAAGCTCCATTGTGCATCCTGAAAGGAAAGCTGAAACGAACGTGTTGTAAGCCTGGCAAAGCATACGATTCAAAAACCTGGCAGCAACTGTTGGTACCACACACCGAGCTGTCAACTATAACTACAAGTCGAGGCTTCTTGCCAGGGGCGATAACGATGTTGAGGCGCCCCACGGCCAGGCGAGAGCCCCAGCGAGCCTGAGCCTCGTGCAAAGGAATGGTCTCCAACCATCCAGCATCCACCTCTTTCTGCAAAAGCTCGCAAAGCAAAGTGGGGTCGGCCTCGGCCCCCGTCCAGTTCCCAAAGCAGAGCAACAAGTCACCATCGGAAGGGGGACTGTCATGCTGAGTAAAAACATTAGACTTGGGAATATCGCCATCATAGCCTGTGGGAACACCTTCGAGCAAAGCCAAAAATAAATGCTTGTCGGCGTCCTTCACCACCTGACTCAAGGAATGCAAAGCATGAAGACAGTAAGGCTGACCCGAGGGCTTGTCCCAATTGATATCGTCACGGCAACCCTGGGCCCAGAACCACCGATTGGCGATCCCGCGAAAAGAAAGGACCTCCTTATCAGAAAAGAAAGGAGAATCCGAAGCAGCAGCCACATGGTCTCGAAGGCGCCTGTGGAGACCGTGCTGCAGAATAAAAGTAAGGAAATCCTTCCGAAGCTGCGAAAATACACCAGAAGCCGAAGAGGGCGGCACGGACCAGTCAGGCTTGGAGTGGATGCCTCCACCATCCTGAGATGCCACGGGAAGATCGCGAGCCTGCTTGACCGGACGCAAAGCCACCAAAGCATCCAAGGAAAGTAAAACTGGAGAACTAGAGAGTGGGTTCGACCTGCCCAAGAGCGCAACTATCCCTTGGCACAAAGCAGGCGGAATAGAGCATGCTGAGGCAGAAGCCGAACTGGTATGCCGGCAGGCGCCAGTCAGGCTCCCAAAGCATTCCAGGGACGACGCAAGCAAAAGCTCGTCATGACAAGGATGACCCACAACTGCACAGAGGCAAAACTGTCAGCGCTGCACGTGCCTCAACCCGACTCCAAAGGCCGCGGACCTGCAACCATTCCTTTTCCAGGGCACCCGACGAGGTGCGAAAGGAAGGCTCGGGCAAAGCAGGAGCCGAGGCTGCAGCCGCAAAGGTACTCTTGCCACCGGCCACCGCAAAGGACCGGATCGCATAAGATGCTGCCTGTTTGGTCGGAAGGACAGGCACAGCCCCACACCCGGCAACGAGGGACCCTGAAGGGACCAAAGTAGCCGAAGGCAGAGCAACTTCCAAGCGATGCGCAGGACCTTTGTCATATTTAGAAGCTGGGGCAAAGGAAGGCCGGGGCAAAGGCGAAGACGATGATGTCGAAGAAGGCTCCTTCGGGGCAGAAAGCACGGGCCGAGGCAAAGCACCAGAAGCATCACGAAGCACCGGGCGCTCAAAGGAAGACCTGCTGCCCTCAGGAAGCCGAGCAATCACGTCCAAGGGCCCCGGCAAAGGAACCGAATGAGAAGCTTCAGGCCGCAGGTCTGCAAAGGAAAGCTCGCGAGCAACATCGTTCGAGGCCGGGGCCACCACAGACCACGACCGCAAAGAAGCCGGCGATTCCTGAGCAGAAGCAGAAGGGGCACTGGCCAACCCCGACTCCCGAGAAGCGGCAGCAGCCAAAGGAAGCATCTCACGAAAACGCTTCACGACCACTGGCACTGGCTCCTCAATAGGCTCCAAATCCACAAAGGAAAAATGCTCCGGAGAATCGGAAGCCATACCTAGTCCAGGGTATGCAAAGAATACTCTGGGTCCGTAGGCTCGGCCGAGCCCGCCAGCAAATCAAAGCGACGATCGAGATGACAAAACTGGGCCCAAAGGTCCGCCCTCTGATAGCAAAGAATATCAATACGTCGGTGCAAAGCAGATAAGGCTTCAACGATCTCCTGCTCCACGCGCCGAGAAAAAGATTGCTCAAAGGCCTGTTGCCTAGAATGAAAAAGCGAAACCTGACTGCAAAGCGAAGCAAGGTCAGATTGCAAAGCACTGCACCGCGAAGACAGATCTGTGAGGCGGGCCTCCCAGTCGACCACCAAGGAAGCCAGTCCTGAAACTCCCTCGTCCAGGAAAGCGAGGCGAGACTCCAATACCCGAAATCTGTTGCGCAAAAGCTCAATAGCCAGAGTGGTTCGCTCAAGCTGTGCTGCGGGCAAAGGAGCAGCCTCTGAAACCATCAAGGCATCAAAGGAGAACCTAGCCTTAAAGCTTGTGTGCTGCGAGTGTGTGCTGCTATGCAGGAAAGCAACCTAGCCGCACACAATGACATGTGCAAAGCTAAAGCATGAAAAGCGAACGCATGAAAATTGAAATGCAAGCTGCTGAAGCATGTATGCATGCGAAGCTGCGGCTTGGCTGTTGTTCGAGCCATGCACGGGGGCATGCCAGTTGAAGCAAAGTAAAACAAACCTGAGTGAACACAGGAACCATGTGGATTACCAATCGAACAAATAGTCGTGGGAATTCACACATGCCAGTTTTTTGATGCACTCATTCACTTCCAGTTTTCATCAAGCACCAGGACGATGTTTGCAGCGCCGATCTGGGAGCTGGCCTGGCCTCACCTCAGGATTGGAGACTGGGCCAGGGAGGGGAGCACTACCATTTTCCTAAGTCGCCAAGGCGTAAAAGTAGATCCCCCTCCCCACACTTTTGACAGGCCCCAAGTTTTTCCACAGGATTTCGCCCAAGAGCCACCGAGAGGGGCAAGCAACGTCACGAAGGCACCCTTGAATTCTGGGTCCTGAACCATGCCCTTGAAGCCACGGCAGCATCAGATCACCAGTGCCGACACCTGGGCACGGTTAGCCCGAGCTTCTGAGGACATCGTTTTTGCTGCCTCGCGAGTCGCGAGGTAAACCACGTGCGCTTCAGATTGTTTCGGCCAATGTTACCTCGTGGAGAGCTGAGCACAGGCAATGGATTGCCTCGCAAAGGTTTGGTGCAGCCCTTATCCAAGAGCACCACTTGTCTGAAGGGCCCCTGCGTAACGAGATGGTGGCTATGTCCCAGCTTGGGTATCATGTGCATGGCAAAAGCTCTCCTGTCAGGAAAAGTGACATTGGAGGAGTCTTATTAATCTGCGCTATAAGATCCACTTGCACGCACGCCGAGTTCAGGAATATCAAGAGCAGGAGACAGAGTGTGGATTTGTGGCTGTCGCGATACGGGTCTCAGATATTGCTTTCGTATCTCTTTATCTTGAGTCAAGCAGTACCTTTGACCGTCGCGCCAATACAGAAGTGCTGTCACAGTTGTATGCGCTTCTCTCTTCCCTCAAGTGCACATGGTGTGTTGTCGGTGATTGGATCCTTGATGCCCGCCATCAGGCTTGAGGACATTACCAAAAGCAAGCTGCAAGCTGATCGGCACAGGTCAGCCCACAGCCGGTACCGAGACCGAGCTTGATTATGTCCTGGTGCACGCGGACCTGGCATCTCATCTCACACTTAGCCTTGATTGGAACGTTCCTTTTAAGCCGCATGCTGCCTTGATGTGCCAAATCCCCCTGAAGTCGGTGCAGGACAACATGCCTTCGCTTACAGCTGTCACGGACGATTTCGACCCTATTCAGAAAGAGCAAAGGCTTGCAACTCCTTTGCTTGTTGCCCCAGTTTCGGTCCGCCAGAAATGGATGCTGAGGATAAGATGAGTTCAGCCTTTGCGGCCATGTCTGCCACAGCCGAAGCCTCAGGAACACCACAGCCAGAGCACAGCCAGCTACTTTCTGGAGCCCTGACCTCCGGTATGGGAGGAGTGTGTCGTGCCTTGAAAAGCCATGAGCAAACTTTGGCTAGGCCTTTTCGTGATCAGTCTGCCCTAGCCAGAGCTTACTGCAGACTTGAGTTCTGGTCTCATGCGTGGGGGTTGGTTCGGTTTTAGGCCACAAGCTGAATGGTCCACACGGTGCCTGGCCTTAAGGGCTGAGGCAGCCGAAGCTCTCCGAAATCTTCCGCACTGTTGTTATCAGCAAGCAAGTTGCAGACCTTTTGTGATGATTGAATTTCATTTGACTTTGCCAAGTCAGATGGTGATGGTTCAGGTGGGTTCGAAAACCAAGAGCCCAGAAAAGGAGAGGCGAATATCCCTCACCTCCGTGTTCTGGAGGGTGTGTTGCAAATAGAGAAGGCCCATCCTTGACGGGTGGATTCGCAGTTATGTCACTTCGATCTTTGATGCGACGTTGCCTGGGCGAACATCACTTGACCCGGCCCTAGCACGCCTTATCAAGGCTGAGGACCACAAATTCCAAAAAATGACACCTTCATCACCATTTTTGTTGACCTGGAAGGTTTTTATGATGCTGTCGATTTTGGCCGTCTTCTACTGCATGTGTGTTGCAGAAGAAGTCAATTGAGGGTTGCACCCAAGGGTCAAGGGTTGGCCGACCAATTGCTGCTGTGGGCATACACATGTGTGTTTCTGAATACACACATGTCTGGTGCCGAAGAAGTCAATTGAAGCCTTGATCATATTAACAGCTTTGGCATGGCAGACCGATTGTTGCTGTGAGCATATACGCAATGTGTTGCAGAGGGGTCAACTGAGGGTTGGCCGACCAATTGC